CATTATCCTGGGCTCTCCTAAGCTGTAAACTTTGCCATATTGGCACCTCAGGTGATCAGGAAAGATCGCTAGATTCCTTATTTCAGCGAAAGTCCAGAATACTGTTCCTGACACTACCCCAACCCCCGTCCCCGTTCCCCCCCCACCCCGCCCCACCGCCGCCACACACACACACATACCCACTCTTTATACACGCTAGGAAGACCCTCAGAGATCATTTATGGAGAAGGAGTGGATTTTTGTGGCTGCTGGTACACAGTTACTGAACATCTTGGAAAGGCGGGCGCAGGACCGCATCCGTGCCTGTGCGCAGAGCGGGAACAGCCTGCACGTGTCGGCTGCCGCCCGGCCCCTAGACGGCTGGCACCATCGTCAGCCGGGAGTCGGTTGGTGCCCAGGGTGGGCAAAGGCAACACAACCGGGTGGAGGGCGGCGCAGAGGGTGGCGCTGGCAGCATGAAAGGCGTCTTTGTGCGGGACTTGGGGTGAGGAGGAGGTGAGAGTGGCGAGAGCCGAGCCAGAACCTGGAGGCTGGGGTTCCCGGACGCCGCCACCCGCCACTTCTCAGCGGCGCTGGAAAGATCCGGGTAGTGCCGGCAGGGGGCGATGTGGCGCGGGAGGGGTGAAGTGAAGGGCCCCGGGTTTGGTCTTCTTTGAGACCTGAGAGGAGAGAAAAGAAGGTTGGAGAAAGCGGTACAGAATTGAGGGTCTGTCTCCCCGCCCCCTCCCCCAGGTGGCGGAGAGATCGCGCTGGCTGGAAGGGTGCAGCCCCTCGCCGGGCCCTCATTCAGCAGTCAGGGAGGCGAGAGAGCGGCCCCCGAGGCGGAGCCTCCCTCCTGCCCCCGGGTACCGCTGCCCCCACCTGGGGGAGAGAGGCGGGCGGCGCGCTGCCCTCCCTCTGCGCCCCCGCCGCGTGGCTTGCGGCTTATTTTCCCAGCTGGCAAGCGTCGCGCTGCAGACAAGGGAATGCCTGTGGTGAGTTGTTTATTTTGCCGAAGTTTGCGGTGGGCCAGGGGGACGTGGGGGGCGAGCGGCAGGCAGCGGCCAGGGCTATTTTGTTTAGGTCTTGGTCCACCTGTGTGGTATAAATCTGCCAGCCTCCGGGCGGCTGGGGGCCAGGGTGAGAAAACCTCAGGGCTCCAAAAGGCCTCTATTTGCCACTTGCAGACCCAGAACTACATTTGATTTTCCACTTCTGGACTCGGCTAGATACTAGCTTATACTACGCTCCATACCCCTAAACGTTGCTTTCCGCACCCGCTGCGGACAGGGCTAGTGCTGTAAAGGACAGTCAGCGCCCAAGACCCTGGGACAGGGACAGCTGGCCATAGAAGTTCTTCCCGCGTACCCTTCCCCGTTTCCGAGGATAGCAGAGCTGAGTGTTTGATAGGAGGGGCGATCTTCAAACTAGTGGGAACTTGTTTGGGCTACTTCTGGCATGAAGTCCGTTCAGACGTGTCGGGTCTGCGAGTACCGCAAACTGGGATCCAGGGTGGCCAGAGTTTCCCAGACTTGAGGCTGGGGGTCGGTAAGCGCTTCGCTCCCAGGGGAGCCCAGAGGAACCCCCCAGGGCTGATGATGACAGTCACCACCGCGGCTGCGTTTGCCTGGAAGAAAAGCCTAAATACATTAGCGAGCTGGTAAAGCTTTTAAGGCCTTCTCGGGAGTGAGTGGCTGGCTAATGAGAGGTTAATTTTGTTTGGAAGGGAAGGCTGCGCTGGTTTCCTGAGATAAATGGACAGGAAGCGCATTACCTCCGCGCGCTGGCAAGCGGCTCCCAAATGCTTTTTGCACCTGCCGCTTTGAGCGGTGCGATCCGCTGCAGAGCCCGCGGGGATCGTGGGGGCCGGTTGTGTACGCTCGGGTGATGAGCCCCACTCACGCCCCAGGCCCTCTCCTTCCGGGGGCGCAGCGCTCACGCCAGACTCTGGGGTCTTCTCTCACACCCAGGTCCTGCGTGCTCAGGAGCTCGGGGGCCCCCTGATCCCGCCAAGCCCCCTCCAGGAGCGGAAGGGTTAAGAATGATGTAAGTACAATCCACTAGCTGCTTGCTGCTGGGCTGTGGGACTCCGGGCTGTTTCAGCCCCTGCTTTGCGTCCACCATGGACTGGGGAGCAGCGAGGGGGCTTTTACTCTAGAATGGGTTGCACAAATCGCTACCCTGGTAGCTCCCCTGTCCTAGGTGATCTGTTAAGCAGAGAGACCCTCGTGTTAGATTTCTGGAAATGGAGATATTTTGACAGGGGAATAGTTAAGATATCATGTATGGGTTCAGGGAAATAAACCCGTAATTCTTATTTAGAACCCATTAATGTTGCTGGCATGTGTTTTAATCCTATCCACTAGCACGTTCTTACCATGGGATGTTTTGCTGTGACCCCTAATTGTGCTGTTCTAATCTCATCTTTCCTTCCTGAAAACAAAGATGAAGGAAGAAAGACTACAAGTGGCAATGAATAGGGTGCGTTTGGGGGTTGTGCAAGCTGTCACTTCACGATTTTTTTTTCTGGTTAAAATGTAAAACTTTTATAAGTCACTGATTGTATGGGGGGAAATACCCAGATGATTTTCCTTTGTAGAATCTTAAAATTCTCCTTAAACTGCAGCGTTCGAGCTGGAGGAGTATATATGCGTTATAAGCGACCATTCACCACCCTCTTGCTTTCCAAGCCGATTCGGGGGATCTTGCTAATCAGTCCGAATTTACCCTGCGAGTGTGTCAACTGACCTTAAGTCTTGAAAACGGGAACTGCCTTGCGGTTTAATTGTGAAAATTAAGATTTTACTCTAGCCACCCGAATACTTACGTGGTAATAAAAATGAATTGTTAGGCTTATAAATCTCGAGCTTGTCAAATTTTACAACAGATGAGTAATAAAGCACCTTAGAAAAAATGAAGTTTTTCCCCTAAAGGACAGTTCCATTTTGATGCCATAATTTGTGGTGACTCGAGGACGCCCTCTACTGATAAGATAATTTAGAGCACTGTGTTTAAGGAACAGGATATGGAGGTGGGGAAAAGTGGAGGCTGGGGAACCGGGGCGGGTGTGAGGGACGAGCGGTGGAATCATAGCAAGTAATGACCGCGAAAAGACCCCAACTAAACTGAATTTGATCCTTAACTTCTAGTTATGTGTTTTGAAGTATGGTGAATAAAGTGCCATGTTTCTTTCATAAAGGTCAAATTAAATGTTAGGTTAAGGAAAAGAACCATCTTACTGTTAGTCTTTGTTGGCAATATACTTTGAAAAACTGTTCACATTTGATTACTTTTAAAAAGATGTTTACAGTATTTCATTAACTTTAGTTCTTTGATTTATATAGTAATTGCAAGGGAGTAAATTTTTCGTCCGGTAGTATTTACTCCATAATAGTATCTAAAAATCGTATCAGATAACTCCGCCCGCAAAAAGGCATTTCTCCAGGCAACTCTGAAGCTATTATTAAGCATACTATGGATATATACAAGGCTTGGATTATATCTTGGGCAGTGAAAGGTGTGTTTACCACTTGAGTCATCATAGCATGTAATAAGTAAGTAATGAAAAGTTATAGTAAAAATAGATAGGCATCCTTCATTAGGGACCTAGTGGTTTGTACAGTTCATAATGTGTCTAATGAGTAAGCTGGGGTGATCGAAGGTTTGCCCTCAATTATCCTAGTCCATTGATTAGCACATTGTAACATGTGGAATATTAACGTGTCCGTGGTTGATACCAAATTACTAATTAAAGATTATGAGTAGCAAGCGGGTAGAGTTGCAAACTACAATTTGCTATAAGTGAATTTAAAATGGCAGCCCTGAGCCCTTTGGAGGAAAGGCAAAGGCGAGGGCAGTCTAAGTAGTTCCTAGCCTTTGAAGTCATCCTTTAGATTAGATACCACTTCACACCTACTGATAACAAATTGCAACCTATCATCATCCTCACAACATGCTTTCCTGTGTCTCCCCTTGGCAACCTCTTTTCTGGCACACAGTTGGGGTTTCTTCCTCATTTCAGGATCCATCCTAGTGGCAAAGTAGAAACTGATCTGCCATTGAATTAATATACTAAGACTACGAAAATCTGTGGAAAAGCCACCGAGCAACAAGAAATCATGGCATAATTACTCTACACTGCATTAAAAACTCACTATCCTCATTAATCTAATTACACTGTAACCGAACACGTTGAAGTTCGCCCACTCTCAGACTCCTCCCCGCTGCTTTCAGGAAGGGAAATGTCAGAGTAACAATAACGCCAGAGCCTCGAACAGCTGCTAGAGAATTCCTCTGGGAGCTGATGGGAGTACCTTCCCAGCTCATCCGATCTGTTCCGGACAGCAAGTCACATCGAAATTTCCAACGCGGCCGGGTGCTAGCGTTACCAAACGTCCGGAAAAAAACTCGGAACGCAGTTCCGCAAATGTGATTGGCTGCGAAGGGACCTGCCGCCAGGCGCCGGGTAAAAGCTCCCACTTCCTCTCAGGAACAGGAGCTGGAGCGGGAGTGACAGACTGGGGGTGACTTAAAACACACACACACACACACACCACACACACACACACACACACACCACCTTGAAAGGAAGGCGAACCCAATCACATTAATTGAAAGTCAAAGTCCTTTGTAACGCCGGTAAGAGAGAGTTGCCGTCGTCAATTTCTGTAAGACACGAGGAAACTGAATCGCGGAAAGGGGTGAAGGAGACAGAAGAGGAGGGAGCGCGAAGGAGGCTGGGCCCGGGCGCGGCGAACGGGACTCGCAGCGGGCCAACGCGGAACTCAAATTACAATGAGCAATCTGAGGGCGGGAGCAGAAGCGAGGGGGCGGGCGCTTTCTCCCGGGCGAGTGGCCGGCTGAGCCCAGCCGTCTCGCGCTTTCAGCCAATGGGGTGAGAGGGAGGGGCTAGGCCGGGGGTGGGGACGACACGGATTGGCGTGCGTGAGGAGGGCGGGGCGGCAGTGCGGGGCTGAGATTGATTGACCGCGAGTCGCAGCACAGAGATATCCGGGCTGCAAGCGGCTGCTCGCTAGGGCTGGGCGCGCCTCCAGTGGGTCCACGCCCGCTGAGCCCACGCTGGCCGGGACCAGGGCGCCCGCGCTTTTGGGGCCGGGCTCAGCAGTAAGCTCACCGTCTTTGTGTCTTTTCTCCCTCCCCCTCTGCCCCGCCCGCCGCCTCTGGCTGCCGCGATGCCGCTGCTCCTCGTTGCCGCCGCCGCCGCCGCCTCGCTCCTCCCGCGGCGCGCTTTTCGCTGCGGCGGTGGCGGCGGCCCGTATCCGATGCGGGCCTGAAGGAAGAAGAAGAGAAAGCGAGGCACGTCCCCCAGTCCATGCCGCAGCCACGGCCGCGAACCCGCAACGGCGCCCGTGCCGCCGCCCTCGCCGGAGCCCACGAGACCTGCATGGACTGGAATGGGCTTGAGAGCAGCACCTTCCTGCGCCGCCGCCGCCTCCGCCGCTGCCGCCGGGGCTGAGCAGCGCCACCGCCCCCCGCTCTGCCCGCCGCCCCTGACGTTGCTGCTGCTCCTGCTCAGCCTCGGGCTGCTCCACACAGGTATGAGGCGCGCGCGCGAGGCGAGCCAGCTGCAGGGACGAGTGCTTTGTTCCCAACACCCCCGCTCTCGAAGACACACGTCGGGACAGAAGGGCGGCGTGGCGTGGTGAGACGGGAGAGGCCTCCTGGGCTCCAGCCCTGCACCTCTGCCGGGCTCGCGGCGCAGCGGCAGGAACACACCCGCCGGCCGAGCGGCGCGCCCAGGGCGCAGAGGAGAGGCCTCTTCCCCTCCCTCTCTCCCGCTTCCCCGCCTTCGACTCGGGCCGTTGATAATGCTTCCCAACAGCCGCTTATCAAAGATTTAGAGGGCGAGGGCGGCGGGGGCTGCGCCCCCGAGACAAACGTTCCGGATGCTCTATTGCTCGCTGCCTTGGTGTTTACCGAAAGTCAGGCCGGGATCAGGTTTCCGCCGCCGCCCCCATCGAGGCGAGACAAGGAGCCTTGTGCTGCTGCTCCGGAGTCGGGGGTGGCGACGAGGGGAAGAAATCGCACCAGGCGGAAAGATTTTCACGGGAATTTGAAAACCGGGGGGGGGGGGGGGGGGGGGGGGGTTAATCTCGAAGTAACTTAAACGTCTTTAAACAGGGATTTTTCCGTATTTGCCACAACTGCTTTTAATTCAGCTTTTAACCTCTGTGGAAAAACTGGTGCTTTGTGGCCAGCCGCGTGTTTTGGGGTTCCTGGAGGGGTTGACGCATCTCCCTGCATTCTGGAGGTGGGCGCCTCCCCTGTGGAAGCGGAGTGACTTATCTGTTCTTAGCCAAGTAGGCCTACAGATGAACCTTCTAGCAGATGATACTTATTTTTCCGTGAAATAAGTTTCACTAATACAATGTTATATTTCATTGATATCTCAAGCCGGCGTGGGGGAGATATTTAGAACGCTCTTTATAAATAAGTACTATGTCTAGGAGTTTGTCTAAATAAAGAATTTCTTTAATGCCAAATTGAAGGCTAAATTCTCTTAATATGAGAACAACTAGAGCATTAGGTAAGTTTTCATTTGAGATCTTGTTGTCCTGTATTTCATGACAGCAGTCTCAACGCTGTGATCTGGAGAATCTTGACCTATAATGCCACCCAACTGTGTGGAAGAGTATTTATTTATTAAGTCATACCAGCCTTGCTAAAAATCTGGGAGGTCTTTTAAGTAATGGAAAAAAAAAAAAAAAGATGTGGCGTTTGAGGAGACTAAATTTACTTTTCCTAACTTTGCATTGTGATGGAATAGCTGCATTTTAACACTCACTTGGGGAAAAATAGAGTGTAATAGTAAGTTTTACAATGATTAAGGCTTTAAATGACTGACTTTAGAACCTTAGAAAATAATGTCAGTGTGCATAGCTTCCAAGAAAATTTTCATGTGTCAAAAGTTACATTCACAAATGTTTTGTGTGAAGAATCTCTACATAATGTCAAAGTGTAGGTTTCTTGAAATGGAAATTGAAGTACTAGGTAGGACTGTGTGTCCCTCTTGACTGCTGGGGATATTGTTCCCCTCAGTTGCCAGAGCTATTACAGGATTGGAATGTGGTTCTTGAAGATTTCCTTTCTGGCCAATGGTGAAAGACCTGAGGAGTTGTCTTATTGTTTTAGAAAATGAAGGTGCTTTATTTCAAAAATTTACAATGTGAAACTCCTCTCAGTGTCTTAATGTGCCCTCACTAAAGTGACCATTATATTCTACCTAGAGTTTCTGTGGTGAGTGACACCTATGGACAACTTGTTGGGGTTGGGTGACTAAATTGGTAATACAAGAAAGGGCTTCTTGTGAAAGATTGCTTTGAAGAGTTTTGCTATTGATCATGCAAGGATTGTTTCTCAGAGAAGGGAGCCTAGCCAAGTGCTCTTTGCAGATGGGCCACCATATGTTTTATGCCTGGATCCATATAATTTGCCATAGCACCCTATATACCCCTGCATTTTACTTAATTCAGCTTCAGCATATCTTATTTCATTTATTATAAACTGGTGATTGCAAAATCACACGTGCAGTCCTGGCCTCAAGGAAATGGTCTTGAATGGTGAAGTCTTTGTGGGTCTAGAGCTTTCCCTAATGATTCAAAGCTTTTAAGCACTTTCATTAACTGGAATGAAAATAGTATCACACCAATCATAGATGACCTGACTCCAAAATTGGAGAGATCTGTAACTGAAGTTTTGATTTCTGCCTTTAGAAAATGAAAAAAAGAACTTTTATACTCTGCCCCTTCCCCCCACTTTAAGCAAATCTCTACAATTCCTGAATGGAGATCCAATATGGGAGTTACTTGCTTACTCATACACTTGATGGCCTTGTTGGCTACATCCTTGAGATTGTTTCTGCTCTGCATTGTCTTGGCATTTTGACAGGAAGCTTACTTTACCACCTATAACAGGCAAAGTGTGCACTGTCATTATAAATTCATGAAGCCTGGATATTTCTGGGTGTATGCTGCAAATTAGTCATTATACAGGAGCCTGCAATAGGGCTGAAACTGCTGACCCAGATGCACTCTCTAGTTAGCCCTCCTCTTTCCCATCATCTCTATTTGAAAAGGCTGTTAGAAACCTCATCCCAAACAAAAGAACCCAAGGAGTTCTGTTTAATGTGTCATTACTTAAAAGAATCAGCACCTGCCTACTATAAAAAGGAATGGCCACGTGGAGGGAGTGGGGGAACCAGGAAAAAGGAGGTGGGAATCTAAATTCTTTTCTGAACAGTTGCATCTGCATTTCATGCTCTTCTTACTTTGGATATTTTATGACTATTTGAAATAATTATAAGTAAATGTATGCTCGGATAGATTTTATAGACCATAAAAAGAACAAATAGGCACTGGAAGTTTAGCGGAAAGTTCTTGTGCTGTCATTTAAATTGTAGTCTAGGAGCCGTTCATTACTGAGCCATCTTGGCCCAGTTTTCGTTTCCTTGCTTTCTGCTTACTAGGACTCTGATTTTAAAAGAAAAACATAATTGATACGGTAGTTGCTTAACTCTTTTTTTTTTTAAGCCATCACCTACTGTTGTGAGAGTCAGGAATGTGAAGATGTGATTTGAGGAAGGAAAATGGGATTTGAGGAAAGGCTTTGCACCCTGGGCTACTCTCTACCCATTTTTGATCCAGCCAGGACAAGGCCCGGAGTATCCCTTTGTCTTGATTTTTCCCAGCTGTAGAATGGCTTTTAATGCCTTTGAGGTTGATTGGTTTTTCTGAGTAAAAACAGTTGAAAGTGACTTGATCTACTTTGGAGAGAGGAATTCTATAAATACAGGAGCTGCTTTTATCAACTCTGGAATGAGTAAACATGAAATAGGCCAAACACAAGAAGGTGTGCTTGTGATTTTTTTTTTTTTAAGTGTGATTTAGTGATACCTGATAAACCTGTAGCTCCAAAGTATTAAATTATTTTATTTTTTTTAACTCAGGTTAAAATAAATACCCAATCTAGACTACATTTTTCCCTTCTTGGTCTTTGAAATTTAAAAACAGTAGGGAGGTGGCTTGAGAGGTGGTCATCTCATAGTCTTTTCTGCTGAATTCAAGCTAGAAACAGAGATTACAGGCTATTTCATTCAGGCTTAAAAATACTTTAATACTGAAAAGATTAAAATATCTTTCTGAAACATTATTAGGGTTAGTTTTAAGTCTTCATCAGATGAAGTCCTAAATCTTGATAGTATCCTGAAGTTTTGGTGTCCATGTCTTCAAATAATTATATATTTAATAATACTCTGTTTTTTCTCATCTAGAATTGGAATTACAAGATATTTTATGACTGGAAAAGATCACAAAGTTCATTTTAGAACAGTCTCCATTTCTCATCTGAGGAACCTAAGACTTCAAAGCATTGAAACTTCCTCCAGTGTAAAGACCTAAAAAGAACATGGAAGTAACACAAAATACGTGATACTGTTAGTTTCTATAAAACTTGAGGTGGATGATTAAGAAAAGTATTTTCCTTTTCAGTAATTCTAGAGTTCCCACTTTAAGGACCATAATATCAAATTGATTGGCACATACAACTGGCCTAGTATTGTCAATTCTTGCATCTTTTTAGGCTTTGAGAGGTTTTTATTTTTTTATATGGGAAGTTAGGGGCAAAACACCATTTGAAAATTGACTTTTATTTATTTTTTAATTTTTCATTAAGTTTATTTTTTTTTTTTTAATTTTTATTTTTGAGACCGAGAGACAGATCATGAGCAGGACAGGGACAGAGAGAGAGAGAAAGAGAGAGAGACACACACAGAATCTGAACCAGGCTCCAGGCTCCCAGCTGCTGGCACAGGGCCCGACACCGGGCTTGAACCCACAGACTGTGAGATCATGACCTGAGCCGAAGTCAGATGCTTAACCCACTGAGCCACTCAGGCGCCCCGAAAATTGACTTTTAAATAGTAGGCCAGTAGTAGGTGGTTTTTCATTACTTTATTTTAGCTTTGCTTAAATCGATAGGTGTGTCAGAACTGTCGACTTAAGGAAAAGGTCATTTGTATATGTTCTAAGAATTCTGTGTGTTCTATTTCCCTGGTTCTGATAAAACACAGTTGGTGCAGTCATCTACCTGCACAGCATGATTTCAGTGTCGTGACCTTTTTGATTGAGTGTACCCTTCCTCATGATTTGCTTGGGATTGAGGAGCCCAATGGTGATGGGTGTTGAGGGAGAAGTAAATAACGTAGCTTGGTTAAATGGTCCACTTTATTTTTTTTAAGAGACCATTTATTCTTTGTAGCATCCAGGAGACTGTAGGTTTATATACAGTTTGTCAATAAACATCCCTAAGGAAATTCAGAATAACCCAGTGTCTAGATTTCTTGATCTTGTTACCCTATCGCCGTACTAGAATCAGGTAAGGATATTTTAACTAAGGCTATCATTTAGGGGTCCCTACCTAAGGTATGGAACCTTAATCATGGTTTTGTGCTTTCCAAAGCAATTGAGTTACATTCTTAGCAAAATCCAAAGTTCACATCTTTAACTTGGCCTTAGAGCAAAGGAATCTTTCTCAAAATCTGTAAACAATAGCAAAGTTGATTTTTAAAAAATTCCATTTAATTTTAACGTAAGAATACTGGGCTTAGATTTATGTTCCCTCATAGTGCTTCATGATTTAAAGTTTTAAGGTAACTGTGTGCAGTTTTTCCACCAGTGGCTTAATTTGTGAGGGAAACAGAAGCACCATGCAACCCTAGTTCTGAAGGCTTTCTTAAAAATAGGAGTATATGAAGTAGAACAAACAGTTCCCAAAGGACAGTGTCATTTTCTCCTGTAGCTCAGGAAGTTAGGAAGCATTTTAAAACGTTTCGTCTTATGCTGAGGCATAGGAGCACATGTACCCCAATGTTCATAGCAGCACTCTCAACAATAGCTAAAACATGGAAAGAGCCTAAGTGTCCATCAACAGATGAATGGATCAAGAAGATGTGGTTTATCTATACCATGGAATACTACATGGCAATGAGAAACAATGAAATCTGGCCATGTGTAGCAACATGGATGGACCTTGAGGGTGTTATGCTGAGCGAAATAAGTCAGGCAGAGAAGGACAAATATCATATGTGTGCACGTATAGGAGGACTAGGAGGAACTTAACAGAGGACCAACCGGGAGAAGAAGGGGGGAAATGGTGGGGGAAAGGGAGAGAAGCAAACCATGAGAGACTCTTGAATGCTGACAAAAACTGAGGACTGATGGATGTGGGGGGGAGGAGGGATGGGCATGGAGGAGGACACTTGTGGGGATGAGCACTGGGTGTTATGTGGAAACTAATTTGACAATAAACTATTTGTAAAAAAAATAAATAAATAAATAAAATTTCACTGTTTTGTGGGGAAATAAAAAAAATAAAACGTTTCGTCTTATCTTTTTTTCTCACAGGTGACTGCCAACAGCCGGCCCAATGTCGAATCCAGAAATGTACCACGGACTTTGTGTCCCTGACTTCACACCTGAACTCTGCCATTGACGGCTTTGACTCTGAGTTTTGCAAGGCTCTGCGTGCCTATGCTGGCTGTACCCAGCGAACTTCAAAAGCCTGCCGTGGTAACCTGGTGTACCATTCTGCCGTGTTGGGGATCAGTGACCTCATGAGCCAGAGGAATTGTTCTAAGGATGGACCTACATCTTCTACCAACCCCGAAGTGACCCATGACCCTTGTAACTATCACAGCCACTCAGGCGCCAGAGAACACAGGGGAGGGGACCTGAACCCTCCCAGTTACCTTTTTTGTGGCTTGTTCGGAGATCCTCACCTTAGAACTTTCAAGGATCACTTTCAGACGTGCAAAGTGGAAGGAGCTTGGCCACTCATTGATAATAATTACCTTTCCGTTCAAGTGACGAATGTGCCCGTGGTCCCTGGATCCAGTGCCACTGCTACAAATAAGGCAAGTGTACTTTTTTCCTTCTTACAACTCTCAGACGTGTGATTCTTCAGACAATTTTTGAAGTATGGTACAAAAGACCTAGTTGAAAAGGAACTTTTTCTTGTTCTTGGCATGCAATTAACAGGGTGAATAAAGGATTAAATGAAAATCATTTAGTGAAGAATTTCTCACTGGAATTGTAGGGCTTATGTAAAATGTGGGTCTAAGTTTAACACTAAGCAGTGATATGGGAGGGGAAAAAACAACCCTGAAGTTGAGTTCTCTACGGAAAAGGCGGGCCTGTTTAATGGGGAAATGTGTACTCTTTTTCTTTCTGTGAAGTCTTTTTTGAGTGTGACTCTTGTTGAAGAAATCCGTGTTCCAATTTATCAGATGACCAAAGTGGGTGTTCCAAGTAAAGAAAGCTGTGAAACCTGGGGCAATAGCCCATCAGGAAACATATTTTATTGGAAATTTGGAAGCCATAGTAAAATATAATGGCTATAAGCCAGCTTCCCAGTGGCAAAGCCACAATTGTGTTTTAGTTATTACTGTCGTGACCAAGGAATTTTAGAATTGGCTATTGTGGAGCAGTGATGTATAATCCCTGTGTAATCGCAGGATAACAATTTAATTAAGACGCTGATGGGAAAACTGACAAAATTAAGTTAAGCTTGCCCTGCCTCACTTACCTTGTCTCTGTTCACGTGTGTGTGTGTGTGTGTGTGTTTGAGTGAAAGAAGCTAATACTAAATAGAGGACATTTGAACCAACTTGAAAGCACCACTGTCAGTGCAACTAGGTGGAAGGGCTATGAACTGGATTCCCAGTTGGCAGTCAGTGCTAATTCAGGCATTAGTAAGTAAATACAGAGGTCAAAAAAGGTTTTCCAGAAAAAAGACTGTCCCAAGTAACCAGCTCCTTCCCGGTCTCCCCCAACTACAAAATCACACATACAGACTATCTCATCTTGTTCGTTTTCCTTTGTTTATCACTTGCTTTAGACTAAAATACAGTTGACACGGATCAAGCTTTTGTAATATTTATGACTGCTCTTCAGATTCCCAGACACCCTCCCTTGCCTCCAAACACGTGGCATATTTTTAAGTGAATTTAAATTATTTTACTTGGCATTTTGTGGAGGTAATTTTACAACTCCTCCGGAGATATCTGGAGACACCCAGGGGTGTCACAAATCTATGATTAGAAGTCATTTCTCTGAACAAAGAAGTCTGTTACATTAGTCCAGACATTTTAGGGGGACTCAAAAATGTTTACGCTTTAACTCCCAGTAAAAGCCCAGGCTTGCCTTTCCAAATCCTACATCTCAAATAAACTTTACCTCCTCTGGTTTTTATAAGTATGCAAATAATCTTTCCTGTCTGTGTATTAAAATATGTATTAGCTGTAAATTAGGGTAGACATTTATACAATCATGAACTTATAACACACATGATGGCCAAAAATCCATCATTGCTGCAGAGTCATAGTGCATAAAACCTGGGAATAGTCTTTGGAAAAACATGAGACTGAAGAGTCAAGCAGGAAGTTGCACTGGGAGTGGAGAGAGACCTCATTGATTGTGTAGATAATTGAGGGCTTAGAGGGCCTTCAACAATACTTTCGAGATTAGTAAGTGCTTTGTGCATGGGAAAATATTGGTTCTTTTCACAAGCCCTAAATTTAATTTTCCATGTCTTTCATCCAATCGCGTGTCACTTTTACTTGTTCTTTAGCCTTTCAGAATTCTATACTTTTTACCGATCCTGGTGGAATTATTTGGGGGCAACCAATTTTCTTATGAGTATTAATATTTCCTAAATGGAACAGTTGACACTGAAGTACTGTAGGTCATTCCATTTCAGTTGTGATCGAATCTGTCATCATTTTTAGCAAAGAAATAAAAAGTACAACTTTGTTTTCTCCCTCAGTTTCGTAATGATCAAAAGTTTCACCCATTCCAAAGAGGATGTGGGAGAAAAACTGTCCTCTGACTTAAATGCAAGCAGACAATGAGAATGCGTGGTCTTTGAGTGCACTGTTGGAAAGCAGTTCCCCACATCTGGTGACCATGCTGTTCAGCAGCAGATGACTCCACGGTTTCACGACCACTGGGAGTTGTGGGTTTTTGGGTTTTTTTTTTTCTCCTTCTACTTTTTGCAACTCTGCAAAGCCCCCCCAAAATATCTGGAAGGTTACTGCTGAAGACCTGTCTCAATGCTAATATGACTTGTGCTGGTGAAACACAACTAAAGGCCTAAAATTTTGCGGTGCAATTTCCTTTTACCTACCCAGGACCAAAATAAAACCTTTTAAAAATTCTAGGCAATGAAAAATGATGGTAATAAAAGTAAAAGTGCTCTGAGGCAAAAAGTAGTAGGAAATAAGTTCCAAAAAAGATCTGATTGTTTTCTTTTTCCCCTGATGTCTACTGCAATACTTTCTTCAAAAATCTTTCAGATCTTTTTGCATGAGTCTCAGCTTTACTGAGACCTCAAACACATACATAGACCAGCTCCTTAATAACTTAGCACTGCACAGTAGAGACCCTGTATTATCCCTGGGGTCAAGCATTTTTAATGACACACGTGCTCAGTGTCACTAGATTTAAAAGCTGACTATTTAAATGCTATGGTAGAGGCTGGCCTACTGTGCTGCTGAAACTGTTGTATGTAAGCACTCCGTCATTTCACTGTCTTCAGCTCTGAACTAAAGCACGGAACCCCGGTGTTAAGCTCAGTGAGGGTCTAAAGATAATTCCTCAGTCCTGGGAACCTGGCTTCCTGAGCAAGCCATATTCTAGGTCATCTATGTGATCTCTACCTCCCCCTAAATACCTTTCCATCCTCACAAAAAGACAAAATGAAGGGGAACAAAAATCTAAATGGAATGAAAGGTCATCTGTATTCAAGGGATCATTTGGTAGTAAGCCTTTTTCTTTGTCCACAGAGCAAGCAGTGAGTTTAGGGCAGCTACACCTGCAGCACTCAGCAGTGTGGCCTCATCCCCCCTTGTCTACTTTCTGTCCTCCTTCCCTGGGAAACTTAGCGTGGTTTTCCAGTTGGTCGTGATGGGCATAGGTATGCCTCCTCCAGGCCACTCTCTCCGTCAGGCCCTCCACCAGCCGGTCTCCCTCTCTTGAGAGGAGTCCTATGTGGTCGCTACCTTGCCAGGTACGTGCGTTCCTAAAGGGGAGGCCAGAGCTAGCTTTTTTATCTCTACCCAGGGACTAGAGGGGTTTCTGACACAGCTGCACACCCTGGCTGAGATCCACACCAGCTCTGGGCCATCTTCCCCACCTCTGGCTGTGAGCGGCGGCTTCAGCCCTGCAGGCCCCGGAGAAGAGAGGTGAGAGGGACAGGCCTAGAACTGGCAGAGTGAGCTAAGTAGGAAAGAAAAACAGTTTTTGTTTTGCGGGGAAAGGTGACCACACTGCTTAGGCTCCAAAGAGGACTCATGTGCATATCTCTCCTGGGCCTTGGACAAATAAGGCGGGTCGTGTGGAAAGAAGTCTCTTGTACATTCTCTTTGCCAGCCCCTTCATCTCCTCTTCACTTCCCTCTGTGTATCTATGTATTTCTGTTTAAGTGGACTCAGGCTTTGTTGTGTGCCATGATTACAGAAGGTGATTTTGGAGTAAATTTGATGAAGAGATTCACAAATGTATTCCTAGTAGCATGTATTAAAATTGCCAGTCTCTCGGGGTGCATTTATTTATTTATTTGTAATGTTTTATTTCCGAGAGAGACAGCGTAATCCGGGGAGGGTCAGAGGGAGAGGGAAACATAGAATCTGAAGCAGGCTCCAGGCTCTGAGCTAGCTGTCAGCACAGAGCCCAACGTGGGGCTCGAACCCATGAACCATGAGATCATGACCTGAGCTGAAGTCGGACGCTTAACCGACTGAGCCACCCAGGTGCCCCTCTCAGGGTGCATTTAAAATGATTCCTTTACCAAACAAATTTCAGGAATACATTTATTGTACACCTAAACAATGGGAATACTTTTTAAAATGATTTTCTACAAATTCTTTGGATACCTTTGATCTACTTTTCCGTTTATTTTAATGTAATCTTGTTTTTGTGCATCATTCTGGCTTTTTAGTCCTGTCCTTCAGTCTTAGTAAAACAAAATTAAAAGAAAGAGGGGAGACTGGGGATGACAGCAAGCGCCTTTATAAATCTGCTACAGAATTTTCCATGCTTCCTCCTTTAGAAGGTGGTTTACGTTAAGGTGTTTGCATTCGGGAAAGAGGTGTGTTCTTTGTCTTGGCCAAGCCACCTGACTGTTGGCCAGGTGGGTGAGCACTCTGAGGTGCTTGTTCCATGGGCTTCCAGCTCCCGATAACCCTGTCGGCAGTAGAACTTAGCACCTATCCAAAGCATGGGTGGAAGAGGCCAGGCCCAGCAGTTAGTTACCTACGTATTTATTAAAGTCCATGACTATCCCTAATTCTCATATTTGAGCTACTTTCTAGGAAATTCATAGACACTTCCACTGGTTGACAATACCAGAGATATAGGAAGACTTAGATTGTTTGGTTCATTCTTGCTTTCTGTCTCCTTCAAACTGTAACCCAAGATGTTCCCTTCAGCACATGAGGCCCTAGAGCATGGTTTTGGGTCCTCTGCCCCTTTCTGATGCCCCTTCACATCAGAAGCTGTTGTTTCGCATGTAAGCCACTGTTCTGGATCATTCTCTGTTGATTACAAAATCAAAGCGAGATGTGCCTGCATTTCAAAGGCTTTCAGCTGTCAATTTAAGTGTATCTCTGGATGAAGGTTGAGAAGACTGTCCTCTTTTGAACCTAGGCCTACTACATTTTCTCTGTAGCCAAGCTTTTGCCCCCCCCCACCATTCTGTTTTTAGTATGTTTACAGAGATGTCTGAGCTACACAGTGATGATCATTCTTATTTTTATCAACTAAGGAAGACGCCTCATACTTCCATAGGCAGGATTGTATTTTGTATCTATGGACACGGTTCTTGCATGCTGGCTGCATTGTTAGAGGGGACAGTGGT